ACTCTGAAACGCTCTTCTCTTGAGAGAGTACTTCCTGCGGGTGTCCCCGCTGTTGCGGCTGGTGCCGCTTTAGCGGGTGGCCCCGCAGAACCTTTGTCCTCCTTGGCCTTGGCGGCCTCTTCTGCCCGCACCGACCTCATCCCGGCTTCGGGCTTCGGCTGCGCTTTCATTCGTGCCGAGCCGGGTTGTGGTGTAAGGCGTGGCTGATGCAGCGTTGGAGTCCAGTCACCTCGGAAAGCTGCTTTAGGCTTGTCACGAACTTCATCCTTGACATCGCCTTGGGTCGCTGGAGGCATCGGGGTCGATGGTCCAGCAAAGACCTTCTTCCTCTCTGTCACCGATGGACCAGGAGGATCTGCCGGCTCAGGGTCGTCCGTCTTGGCGACCGCCCTGACCTTCGCCCGCCCCTGCGTGTCTTCGGGACTCTTGGACGAGTGCCTTTTTGCAGGAGTCGGTGACGATGAGGAGTCGGCTTTAGGTCTTGGAGGTGGTCTGCTGCCCTTGCCTGGTCGTGGACCAGGAGGGTCTCTCGGAGGGCCTTCTGGCTGGCCATGATCATGGATAACCTGCCTCATCTGGTCGATGTCGGCAACACCCTTTATGGCCAGCTTGTATTTGCCATTCTCATGGCGGTAGAGTACCCTCGTGCAGAACCACTTTTGCGCCGTAGAGCTGTAGTACCAGCAGGCGCTTCCGTCAGGGAACGGATTTTCTGAGCCATCTTCTGCCGCCCATTCCTCATTTAGTTCGGTTCGGTCAGTGCCGGCGGCAGAGGCAACATCTATCCATTCATCCTCCGCAGTTCCAGCGGCTGGTGGTGCTTCTGCGGGTGACCCCGCTTCCTTACTGGATTCTGCGGGTGACCCCGCTTCCCCACTGGGTTCTGCGGGTGACCCCGCTTCCCCACTGGATTCTGCGGGTGACCCCGCCTCCTTGTGGAATCGGCGGTTCCACTCCTTGAGGCGATGGTCATTGGGGAGCTTTGCCCAATTCTCCCTGACGGTGTTGGCCACTTCTTCGGTCATAGGGACGCGATCGGCCTCAGTGATGCGCTTCCCCCCTCCAGGAACCTCTTTGTTTGGGTCATGGACGTTGCCAGCGTCGTCTCCATGAGACCAATTCCACGGGGTCTCTCCGTGGTGAGGGCTCCTGGAAGGGCGGTCCATCGGACACCTGCGCATGTGGCCTTTAAAGGGCTCACACTGACACACCTGTTTTCTGTACGTTTTGCGGTCAGTGATGATCTCCTGCTTCTTCGCCCTTTTGTCCCAGGCCTCTGGCGTCTTGGTTTTGCCGCCCTTGGTACGGATTATTGCGCCAGTCTCGTCCCTTTTGGCGCAGTATTCCTTAGAATACCAATGCCGAAGAGTCTCCATAGAGTAGCCGGGGTACCATTTAATGTACCAATCCGGCACCTGCTGAGCAGATACTCCAACGGAGTGCTCAGTGCTATATGGGTAGCCCGATTCGTCGTGCGTAGGGCGTCTAGGAGCAGAGCGGCTCCTTCCGCGGGCTGGCCCCGCTGACGCACTTCCGCGGGATGGCCCCGCCGACGCACTACCATGTGTCACTGGCCTTTGATCGTCCTGCTCGGAGTCTCGGGGAGGCGACGGTCGCCTGTCCCTCTTGGCGTACCGCATTTCATCCGAGTCCTCTGAGCTGTCCTGGGCCATGAACACGTTTTGATACGGGCTCCTGAAGTATCCGATGTCATTTAACTGCTCCATCGAGAGGTCGTTAATATTCATTTGATCGCAACCTTGCATGAATACATCCATAGACCAAGCGGGTGGCCCCGCTGTTGTGTCTAGCATCTCCTCGGCGGGTGACCCCGCTAGAGCTTGGAGTGCTGTGAGCATCTGAGATGCTGACATGTTCGAATCCAAGTATGGACGTAGACGTGCAACTCCTGGGTGTGACAGCAGTTCGTTCATCGTCATCTGCTGCTGTGCTGGCGCACTCAAGAGTCGGATTGCTTCTGAAACCTGCTCTTGGAGCATGTCGTTGTAATCTTCTTCGGATTCTTCGGAATCGGAATACGCGGGATGGCCCCGCATTTCGTCATCGGCGTCTCCCATCTCCGAACCAGCCCCCGACGGATTTGGCAGCAACGGCATGCCAATCACTTGTGGGGCCAGCGCGGCGGTGAGTTCTTCCTCTGTTGCCGGGACGGTCTCGGCTTCGGAGACCTCGTCACCGGCGGGTGGCCCCGCTGGAAGACCGAACCAAGCGTTGTACGCAATCTCATCGACCTCGTCCCAGCCGTGGAACTCGTCGAAGAGCGTCACTGCGTAGTCTTCCAGGGCCACAGTTGCTTCAGCATAGCGGGCCATCACGTAATACGTGGAGGAGCCCGCAGCGGGAGCCGCTTCTGGATTGACGTAAAACTCGTAGTCAATATAATCTATGTCATCCATAAAAGAGTTTTGAGCCAAATGTACGGATCCCTTTCCTTTCCCCTTCGGGCATTGATCGCGCAAATGCTCTGTGCTACCGCATGTATGACACTTCATAGTGTTACCAGAAGCGTCCCTAGGGTTGCCCCTCCGCCCTTTTCCCTTACCGGAGGTCCGCCTGTGACCTCGACCTTTGCCTCCGATAAGAACTTCTTCAAAAGCCATATCAGTTAAGGACGTGAGGAAAGCAGTAATACCCCTACCATGCATACGGCGTCTGCGACCCCCTTTACCACGACCCTTTCCAAATTGTTTGAAATGTCGGCGTACTGCACGTCTCACCTTTCTGACTGGTTTCTTCATAAAGCGCCTCCAACGGCGTTTTGATTTGCGATAAGCCATAAAGGCGGCTTCCGCCCTTTGCTGTTCAGAAAGGTGAGTGTCGTCCGCTGGATAGTCATTACCAGCAGAGACTATTCCATTGTGCTCATCGTCAGATGAAGTATCTGTGTCAGTGCCAGATTCAAACGGTGAGGGTGGCTGAGACCATTGAGCGGATGACTCCGCTTGGCCCCAGAGGGTTGTGCCCGAGGGCGGGCTTGCAGTGTAGGCGGCGCCTGGCGAGTAGTTCGACCAGGCGTTCGCCTCAGCTGCCTCTGCCGATGCCTGGCCGGTCTGCCCTAGAAGGGCAGTGGCCTCGTTGGGCATATCGGCTGGGTCAGCCCAGGGATTTGGCTCGCCAGGACCAGCGGGTGACCCCGCAGTCGTGGCGTAGACACCTGCATGTGAGTGGTGCCCTGTGAAGATACCCGCTATGTTACCAGGAGAGCGCTCGGCAACATGTCCGTAGTTCCTCATCCTGGTCAGCAGCCTGTCATAGTCTGCTTGTGTTCGGGGCATCTGATGATTGAAGGGCTCAAGCAGGTGTTGGGCTCGTGACGCGCCAACGCCTAACGCTCTGAAGAGAATCAGCGTTAGGATCTGAAAGTTGGGGATGACAAAGCCAACAGAGTTAGCCTCGTCACGGGCCATCTCGAATCGAGCTAATACTGAGTCGATTCGCTCGCCCCTTTCGACGCGGAAGTCGATAAGGGCAGTGCCAGAGTTGAGCTGGCGCTCATCTTCCAGATTTTCAAATTTGGTGCTCAGTAAGTACAGTATGTAGGTTACTGCATCCGTTGGCTGTCCATTGACAGTTACACCATAATTGATGATCTGGGAGGGGACCTGCATGGCGATACGACGAGCCAGACCCTGAAGGCCTCGTTGTAGTGCTGCAGCTTGTTGTGGTGGTGTCATATTGCCGCTCGTTACGTTTAACCATGCATGTACTTCGCGAACATATTCGCGGAAAGGCGTAGTACCGGCAGGGTCCCATGTAGGGCCAGTAGTACGCGTGTCGTCCATCCCCTGCCGCATGTATCCCACAGCACATCCCATTATCACCCATAGAATGCCGAAGATAGTTATCTTGATCCAATGCATATGCATTTCGGCTTCGGTGATTGGTTTAGGCTGTGGTTTGTCAGGCTCTGGCGTGGTAGCCGTGAGGCGCCTGACCGGCACGGGATGCAGGTGGCCCCGCTGCGGGTAGCCCCGCAGGGTGACCACGTTCTCGATCGAGTTGCCGATTGGCATCTGGTGGAAGTCGGGAGTGAAGTAGCGCAGTGAAGTAGGAGAGAGCGTCTCGAGTTCGCGGGTTGCCCCGCTAGCTCGATCGCGGACTGGCTCCGCTCCTCGCAGAGCCGGCGCAACATGGTATTCCACCGTAGTAGTAGTCCACCAAGTTGTGCCGTGGATTACAGGAATCAGAGCGAGAGCCAGCCACACGAGAGTGTAGCCAGCTCCGCTACCAAGTCGAAAACAAGCTGGTAAGCTTAGGTATACAGTCCGCCTTAGGCGCTTCCATATCCCAGGCTTAGGCTCATAGCGCATGAGCAAGAGAGCGAGACGAAGCATGGGATCTGGAGTAAAGAGTAGGATGGGCATCGTCAATGGAAAAAGATGTTTTCCGATCTCGGATGCAAGTAGTGCGCCTCAGTGAGGCACAGTCACATATTAGGCCGGGCCCGGCTTGAGCCAGGCACGGCAGCGGTACATGCTCGATTTATACCTCGCCTTTAACCTTCTCCGTTTAAAGTCTCCCCACGCTCCCCCTGGGCTTTGCCAAGTGGTGGCGCGTGGCTTTTTCGGGCCCAAGAGGGACCCAAGACGGGCCACGAGGGCCCCACGACGTCCAGAAGACGGTCCAAGAGGACTCCGAGTCGCCGAACGATCGCTCGAGGACGTCCTAAATGGCCTCCAGATTGCCCAACAGGCCTCCAAGACGCCCCAAGAGGCCCAAGAGGGCCCCAAGACGGCTCAAGAGGCGCCCAGAACGGCCCAAATGGGCCCCAAGACGGCCCCAGAAGGGGCCCAAGAGAGGGAACAAGAATCGAAATCCGAGATTTCCACCCCACGAGGCCGCCAGGAGGCCCCAAGAGGCGCCCACGAGGCCCCAAGAAGCCCCCAGGAGGTCCCCAAGAGGCCCTGAGAGGCCCCCAAGAAGCCCAAAAGAGGCCTCAAGAGACGTCCAAACTGCCTCCAAGAGGCCCCCGAGATGTCTCCCACGAGACCCCAACAAACATCCAATAGGCTGCATACCCACAACACAGGCACGGTGGCAGGATAGGCCTAAGGCCATTCGATCCGCCGCCCCCTGTCGATTCATCGCAGGGGTGCCTGGCGTGCCAAACTAGATGGTTTTGGTCTGGGTTCTTTTTCCAAAAAACCTTTCCCCTGGGGCTTCGACCCGTCCCGCCGGCCACCCGGAAAGGATCTCAAGGAGCTCAATCCGGAACAAAATCATCCAAGATGGTTCAAGATGGCCTCCAAGATGGCCACGTTGGCCCAAGATGACCTCCAAGATGATCCAAGATGGCCTCCAAGTCCGCCCAAGATGGTCCAAGACGGCCTCCAAGACGGACCAAGAGAGTCCAAGATACCTCCAAGGCCGCCCAAGAAGCCTCCAAGACGGCCCAAAACGACCCAAGAGGCCTCCAAGAGGTCCTCTAGGAGGGTCCGAAGAGGCCAAACTTATACATTTTCCTTAGATGTTTGAAGGATTTTGGCACATGCTTCTTCTCGGCATTCCGACGGCTCAAGACGGCCCAAGAGGCCCCCAAGATCGCCCAAGAGGCCTCCAACAAGGCCCCATGACGGCCCAAGCGGCCTCCAAGACGGCCCCAAGAGGGTCCCAAGACGGCCCAAGAGGCCTCCAACACGCCCTCCAACACGCCCAAAATGGTCTCCAAGACGCCCAAGATGGCCTCCAAGACGGCCCCGAAGCGCTCCAAGAGGGCCCCAAGTCGGCCCAGGAAGGCCCCCAAGACGGCTCCCGACGGCGTCAGACGTGCCAGGAACCCACCAAGATGGCCGAAGTTGGCTCGAAGCTGGCTCGAAGCTGGCCCGAAGCTGGCCCAAGACGGCCCCCAAGAGGGCCCCCAGGAAGGCCAGAAGAGGCCAAACACATGGATTTTCCTAAGGTGTTTGACGGATTTGGCATTTGCTTCTTTTCGGCCTTCCGACGGCCCGAGACGGCCCAAGAGCCCCCAAAGATCGCCGAAAGATCGCCCAAGAGGCCTCCAAGATGGTCCCAGAACGGCCCAAGCGGCCTCCAAGACGGCCCCAAGAGGGCCCCAAGACGGCCAAAGAGGCCTCCAACACGCCCAAGATGGCCTCCAACACGGCCCTGGAGCATTCCAAGAGGGCCCCAAGTCGGCCCATAGAGGCCCACAAAACGGTTTCCGACGGCGTCACACGGACCAGGAGCCCACCAAGACGGCCGAACATGGCCCTAAGATAGCCCAAGACGGCCCAAGAGGCCTCCAAGAGGGCCTGCAGGAAGGCCCGAAAAGGCCCAAATCATTGATTTCCCGAGGGTTTTGAAGAAGCGTGGCATTTGCTGTTGTTCTGCCTTCCGACGGCCCGAGACGGCCCACGTGCCCCCAAAGATCTCCCAAGAGGGCCAAGACACGGTCCCAAGAGGCCCCCTAGACGGCCCAAGAGGTCTCCAAGACGCTCAAGATGGCCTCCAAGACGGCCCAAGAGCCCAAGACGTCCTCCAAGAAGGCCCGAAAGGGTCAAAATGGCCTCCAGACGGCCAAGATGACCTTCAAGATGCCCGCGTGTTCCCCGAAGGCTTTCCAAACCGATTCGGGGAACACAGGGTCCGATAGCTTCGCAGGTCTGGCCTCAACGTTCGGCTACACAGGCGCTTCCAAAAAGGCAGGGGGCGGCGGTAATTCGCCGTAGGCGTCTTCGATAAACATCATGTCTCGGAGGTCCGCGCAGATCTCCTGGATCGGCGCTGAACGCCCCCTCCCTAGCCCGCGGAGCGCGCCAGGGGCGGCGTCGGAGGCGCCGCCAGGAGTGCCCCGGAACGGGTCCAAGACACCTGCGCGGACCTCCGAGAAGGCGCGTGTTGTACAGTGCTTGCGCCTTCGAAGGCAGGCGAACACCTCCACACTGCAACCCTCGCCCTGTCGGCAGCAGCCATGCAGCCGCGTCTGCCCCCTTCGCCGGCGCCTGCGGCGTGGGCGGCGCCCTGCCTGGCAGGCCGAGGGCGGCAGCCCGACTCTGCGGTCAGCCGCCCGCCGCACCGCCGGGGTCTGTCACGTTGGTGTGGTGCGAGGACATGGCGTCGCCGTGTGCTTCTGCCCCGGGGAACCAGCGAGTGACAGGGACGTAAACTGTCAAAGGTCCGCTCGGACCTCCGAAAGTTTATGTTTCTGTCGCCATTGGTCCCCCGATCTGCGCGACGCCCGCCATCCTCGCTGCTCCCGCGGACGATCCTGATTTCCTCGGACCGCGGCGACGCCGGGGCTGTGCAGCAGCCCAGCAGGCCACCGCGGGCCGCGGCGAGCTTGTCGACCTCCTCGCGCAGCCGACTGACTTCCTCCAGCTGCCCCATCAGGGCGGCCTCCGCCTTCTCGACGTCCGCCCACTCTGCGCCGAGCTGCTCCCACTCCGTGTCGAGCTGCTGCTTCTCGGCCCGCATGTTCATGACCTGCTCGCGCATCTCCGCCTGCCGCCTGTCGATCTCACCCTGGGCGTGGTCGACCTGCTGATGCAGCAGCTGCCTGAGCTGCTCCCAAGACTGGGCCGCCTCCGCCGGCGCCATCGCGCCGGCGCCGAGGCCCCGAGCGGCTCAGGCCATCTCAGGCCCGGGGCGGAGGCCGTCGCACGGTCGGCCGGCGCCCGCCGGCAGCACCCGCGAAAACTGCTCGAACCGATCGGGACGACTCCTTTGACTACACGCAGGGGTGACCCTGGGCAAGAGTGCCATTCTGGTGCGCGGCTTGCTGGCCGTTGCGTGCGGTGCGACAGTGGCGGGAGAACCAGAACCGGCAAGTCGGATCGGCGATCGAAATGCATCGGATCGGCGGAAAACGGCAGCCAAGTCGGGAGAAGCCGAATCGGCAGACATCGGCAGGCAAATAAGGCCTCCGCTGAGAAACCGAAATCCACAATGGAAGCCGAAACCGAATCGAAATCAGAATCGGAATCGAGCGTAATCGAATCGAACCGAGCCGGAAGAGTCGAAACGAGCCCTGCTCTGTGGCGGCCTGCGTGCCGGGGCTCGGCCCCGCAGCGCACCCCAGAAACCGCACACCGAAGGTCACCCCGGGGAAGGGTCACTTCCGCGTGCAGCCGTCTCCTGGGGTGGTACGCGCCAGTGCACGGTGCCGCCCACGGTGCAGCAGCCAGTGCTGCACCGCGGGTGCGCACGAAGGCCCTGCACCAAAGGACAGCATGCATCAACATGTGGAGTCCTGACAGCGCCGCGACGCAACTATAGCTTCGGTGGTCAAGCACTGGAGCCTCCCATGCCATATTACTGGCTCTTGCGACATCGCCGCTAAACGACGCTCGTCACTCTAATCGACGCGAACCGACGGCCGATCGACGCTCAATCTGCGGACTGAATTACGAGCGCACACGAGGCCCCCATGATTTGCGACCGACGAAGGGCATCATGCATCAGCGCGTGGGGCCCTGACAGCGATAACCACGACGCAGCCACCCATTGGAACCACTGCTTGGGGGCACGTGGGCACGGCTGGAGGTCGAGCGGAATCGGGATCGCGGCCGTGGCCATGGGCTAGTCGTGGCAAGTGGCCAGCCGGCTCGCCCCGTGCGTGGGTTCCAGTGATGGCCCCACGGGGGGCCCTCTCAGGGCCCCCCCTGGCTCTCAAAGATCTCTCAATTCTCCCATGTTGCCCGCTTTGTCTCACTAGATGTGACTCCTGCTCCCTTTCCCCGTCAACTCCCAAAGGCCTTGCTTCTGGATGGGCCGGAGAAGATACTTTTTGGTACGCGGGCTCGCGAAGCAGGTCGAAAGCCAGGCAAAGCTAGGGCGGGCCGCGTCGAAGCAACAAGGAAAAACCGAACACCGAAAAGCCAAAGATAATACTTTTTTGTCGCGACCGCAGGCGAGGGCGCCAGCGGAGAGTCAGGTCCGAGCGGGCCGCGCAAGAGCCGAATTGCCTAACGCCGACGGGCCGGCGACCTCAGCAGCGCCTCGGCGGGCGGGCCGGCGAGAGGGGGGGTGCAAACTGCAGCTGCCAGGAACCAGGTCCAGGGGCACGCACATGCAAGATTAGCCAACCAGGGTTGGGGCGCAGCCAAAATGGCGCGAGCGTCGTACCAGGATGTGACCAGGGAGGCAGCGAGCCAGTACGCTGCACGACTGCCATGGGTGCCCAAAATGGCCCAAAACTGGTGCATCGGGTGGCGCCACCAAAGTCGCACACCAAGTCCCCTGAGGGGAGTACTGATCCTGCATACGACCGTCCACGGAAAGGGCCCAGGGACGGGCAAAGTAGCCAGGGGAACGATGGATGTAATCAACACCGTAAGCGCCTGAGCGACCGGGTCAGGTAAAGCCACGCGCACTCTCGAGCAGGAGCCGACGACGGAGAGCTGACCAAACCAGGGAGATCCGCGTCTCAGCACCGGGGCGAGGGAGCAAGAGGGTGCCGTGAGGATCGCCGCCAGGGACCGCGGGACGGGTCAACACGGTCGTCCCGTCAAGAATTGCAAAGTCTCTGCCGAGAGAGCGACTCCTGAATCCGCCATCGTGCCCCCTGGCACGTTGAGGCGTCGTAGAATGCCAAGGGCTGCCTGGTAAGGTCTCTGCAATCTTCCTAAGGACCCCCCAGGCCCCTCTCGCCGCATTGGCGGACGAAGATGTTCTAAAGGCAGCATGCCTCCAAGGAGGCCCAAGAGGGCCACAACAGGACCCCCGATAGGACCCCAAAGAAGATCAAATCAGCAATATTCCTCAAACTTATCCTCAATGTTTTTGCAGTATCGCCTGGTCGGATTTCCGTCATCCCTGGACGGCCCAAGAAGCCTCCAAGATGGTGCCCAAGAGGCCCCCAAGAGGGTCTCAAGAGGGCCCCAAGAGGACCCCACGATGACTCACGAGGCCTCCAAAGCGGCACCAAGCTGGCCCAAAAGGGCTTCCCTAGAAAACCAAGACAGCCTTAGAAGGCCTTTGGACGGCCCAAGACAGCGCCAAGACGGCCCCGAGAAAGTCCCAAGACACGCCCATACGGGCCAAGAGGGCTCCAAAAACGGCCGAAGAAGGCCCCAAGAAGGCACCAAAGCGGTCCAAAAGGGCCCAAAACGGCCCCGAGGGACCCCTAAGAATGTCCCACAGGAATCCAAGGCAGCCTCAAAACGGTTCGTATGAGCTCCATGAGAGCTTCTCGAGAAGAGGTGAAGTCGAAACGGGGCACATGTGACGGGGTGCCGCTTCCTCGTCTTCGTCCTGCTCAATCCTAGGTCCTTCAAGATCATGTCCCCCCTGCCGCACTCCCAGACGTGTCGGCAGGGCGGGCCGGGCAGTTCGCCCGAAACTTGGAACCAGTTCGCTGATGGAGGGAGGGCCGTTTTCAACATGCGGCTCTCGCATTAGCGCCACGCACATCCGTCTTCAAATGTTTCCGCTTCTTCACGGATGGAGTGCAGATCCTTTTCACAATGCGGTTCTCGCTTATGCGTCACGCACATTCGCCTGAAACGTGTGTAACAGTTTCAACGAAGGAGGGCGGGTCCGATTCAACATGTGGATCTCGCTTGAACGCCGCGCACATTCGCCTGACGAATGTATAGCAGATTCGAAGGACGGAGGGCGGATCCTCTTCAAAAGTGTGGTTCTCGCGGCATGTTCAGGGATTCGTGCGATTGTAGCACCAGGAATGGCAATCTGGCGCGATTCAGGACTGCCACGACGCAGCGATCACGTTGATTCGCGGTGTTGGTGTTCTGGCACGATTTGGGATTTGGGACTGTCAGGGCGTAGCAGTCACGTTGATTCGCTGCGCTGAAGCCCCAATAATTGTGTGCTGGCACGATTGAAGATTATCAAACGAGGCGCTTCCCGCAATGACACCAAATTCGTGTAGGGACTTATGAGGAGGGACCTTCCAAGGAAGGCTTATTCCAATGTCGCTGGTACGTATTGAGTTTACACTGGTCCTCATCCTCCTCCTCCTCCTCCTCCTCCTCCTCCTCCTCCTATTCCTTTTCCTCCTCCTCCTCTTCGTCATCATCACCCTCACGATCTTCATAGTCATCATCACGGCTTTCCCAAGCCTGGGGAGCACGACGTGTCACACGCGACGGCCTCTCGCGCCTCCTCGAACAGTCGCCATCCAGAATGCGTGGCTGCCACGGTGGCTGGGCTTGCCGCAAGCAAAACTGAATACGTGGGGGGAAAGTCTCAGGCGGGAACCGTTGTTGTAGCTGGGGGCCCAAAACCCACAATTTGAGCTGCAAGACTTTCCGCGACAAACACAAGGTGCGAGTGTCGGGGGCGCACGCCAGTCAAAAACCTACAATGCGCACTGGCTGTATGGGGTCAACAACAATGCGAACTCAACCACCGCAACAACAAATAGTTGTGCCAACAAAATTCGCGGGGCACCTTACCATCTTCATCTTTGATGGCACACGACAGTCGCAATCGCCCTGCACCTGCTCTTTACCACCACCCCGGAAAATTTGATGGAAGCACGCATGGGGCATTGGGGTCATCATCGGGTCGCTGCGACGTGGTATTGGGAACATAGGGTCACACTGGAGCAATCTCGTTGTCATGTGTTCCTTTTAGGGTCAAGTGGTTATTTTCTGGAAATCGCAAGGATGTCTTGAAGGGATTGGTTCTGGTTCGCCTTGGACCATATGGGGTCCCAAGGCGTCGCGTTGGAATCATGCCGGGGTCATATTGATGCCATCTTCAAATCGTCTCGGGATCGCCTTGGGGTAGTAAATTCGCACCGGGGTAAGATTGAAGCATCCCCGCCAACAGAAATTGAAAGAGACATGAGGTGCCCGTCGGTGGGAAGACGTGTGTGAAAACATGTGAGAGACAGAGAGAGAGAGAAGGAGAGAGAGAGAGAGAGAGCGAGAGAGAGAGAGAGAGCGCGTTTCAACGGCGGCGCGTTTCGAGCCAGGGAGGGGCCCCCCACCCCCCAACACTCGGCGCCGTCGATCAAAACCAAGGGGATTCCCCTCCCCCCAAAATCCCCCCCCTCCCGAACGCCCCCCCCCGGGGCGCCAGCGCCAGCGCAGACGCCGGCGGCCGCCAGCAGCGCCGACAGCGGGGATGCAGCGATGATGACCAGAGGCAGCCCAAGGGGGGGTTCAAAACCCCACCCCCCGTTTCACCCGTGCGCTGGCGCCGGAGCTGGCGCTGGCGGCGGCCAGCAGCGCCGGCGATGGCGCCGGCGACGGCGGGGACGCAGCGACGATTACCACAACTACCACCACCACCACTACCACCACCACCACCGCCTCAACCCACCACCACCACCACCACCACCACCAACCCACCACACAACCACAACCGCCACCACAGCCACCACCACCGCCACCACAACTCACCATCTCCACCACCGCCACTACTACCACCACCACAATCTGCCACACCACCACCACCACCGCCACATACACCACTACTACCAGCAGCACAACCCACCACCACCACAAACCACCACACCACCACCACCACCACCGCCACCACCACCGCCACCAGCATCACCTCCACAAACCACCGCCCCGCCACCACCACGACCCACCACCACCAGCACCACCACAAACTACCACAAACTACCACCACACACACCCAAAAACAACACCACCACCACCACCACCCACCACCACCACAAACCACCACCACACCACCACCAAACCACCACCACCACCACCACCACCACCACCACCACCACCACCACCACCACCATCACCACCACCACAACAACAAACCACCACACCACCACCA